GCATATTTCCCTTGATTACTCTTCGCACTAAGAGATTCAATGATGTAAAGCGAATACATAAGTTTTTGAGCACTCGACGGATCCAACAGCTCAGATAAAGGAATATCAAGGTGTTTGAAACCTCGCAGCAGCTTGGGACTAGTCGGCAAAAGGCTCAATATATCCCAGACTCTCCTGCTTAAAACTTGAGCTTTCGTGTGCGGAATCTGACGCTGAAATCAAACGAGTAACATAGAATTACTATTAAAATATAGAAGTCAAAGTCAAGTCATAGCATGCTTTATTATCTATATTATTCTTATTGATAAAGCTTCTAAATGTAATAGTACATAAATCGTAACTGCTTAAAATAAGCAGGAGGTCAATGATAATTATTAAATAAAATTAAAATTATGCAAACCAATATGGATTGTAAGATGTTGAAAGTGGATGTACATATACAGTCATGCTACTAGAAATCATTTTTACAACAATTTAGTAAAATAGATATAAAAACAGTTTTCCCTAATTTATTCTATTTTAATTGGTTATGAACACAACACAGGACAGAGTTGTCAGATGATAAAAATAATAACACAATAAATTTAAACTTTGAATTAAATTTCTTGTTGCGAGGGCTGGTCACACGAAAACAAAGCAGGGTTGTTAAACAAATACATCAACATTTTAGAAAATTGCAAAGTCCTAGAGAAGCCTTCTAAAATCATGCTGCTGAAGTCTTCCAAAATCATGTTTTTGAGTTATCAATTTCAGAGTAAAAGCAATATTTAAAAAATTGATGCAAAAGTGGATGAATTTGAAATTTAAATATTTAAATGAAAAACAACAATTTGTTACAAAAATGTTTACCAACTTTTGGTAAAAACTAAAAAAAGGTGACACTCGTATAAGTAATTCAAAACCAAATCAGAGGTGAACTTGAGACCTAATGGTGCTGAACGACAAGGAAAATTCACCATCCTCTTTCAATTCATTATAATATGCATTTTGTAACATAGACATAGCTAACCATCATAGACGGACTACTCTCAAACGACAAATGTCATTTACAAAACTGATAAATTAAACTTTGACAGCTGAATAACAAAAAATATTCCAAACAAAAAAAATTACAAAAGGCAATATACAAAGTCAGACCAATTTCTGACATACTCCCACCATAGTCCCAGTTTCGGTAGATGAGACTTGACTTCAAATTGGGCTCAGTTCTACGTAAGAGTAAATCTTGAAGGAGGTTTTACTCTTCTTTCCCAGTAGTAACGATTTCTTCTGTGGGTCTTGTAGATACTATCGATCATCTTCGTTATGCACAATATGTCAAGCTAACAAAGCTCAATAAACCTGTGCAGTTATCAAATATCCCATTAACAAGTGGAGCAGCTCACCAACATTTCAATCGTGTTTATGACCAAGTTCAAACTTGGTTAGGACATGATTTGGAACCCCAGGAATGGGGTTGGACAATGAGTAACGGATTGCTGCTCCAGATGAGTTACTCAATACGATATTCTGTAACTGCAAAAGTGATTGTGGTTAAAGATGTGGATGCAGGAAAGCGGGGTTGCAATGCTCTTTAGCTTGCGGCCAGTGTAATGGGCAAGCTTGTCTCAATGCTGCACCATATGAGACTGATGTTAACGAAGGTAGGTCCTTTGATCCAGAAATCATGGAAGAATAGGAAACGAATCTGGGTGAAGATGACAATGAAGATGATAACACCTTTGAATGTTTACAGCTGCGAGAGATGACGACGATGAAGAAGAAAATTGAAATTAAAACTCATTTTTCACTTAATTATTTTATGTTTTTTAACATTCACAAATGTATCAAATGAGATTAAAAAAAATTATTTAAAATAATATTTCATTTTATTTCTTTTCTATTCATTTTNGGTGCTGCAGGTTTTTCCGGGTTTTCCTGCAGCTGAAAAAGCAAATGCGCCACTGGAATCAATGAAGTCGCCCCGGAGCGCCAATTAATTTTTATTGTTGTATTTATTTTATTTTTGTCGTTGTTTTAACACATTGTAATAATCCAGAATAAATTTTATTGTTACACTGACATAATTTCAAATGTCTTTATTTGGGTTTCATTATAAATTTAAAAATTGGAATAGTTACATTACTAATTCCAATTTTCAGGTATTTTATTTTGAAGCAGACTTCAAAGTAACAGTGTACCATATTTTTTCTGTAGTGTTGGTGTTTAGCACAATTTGGAAATGCAGAATGTGACATTTGGAAATGACTGTTACAACATATTTTCAAATGTCTTTCTGAAGATCTTATTATTAACCTAAAAGAAGGCGTTTTTTGCAATTCTAAGTAAAAGTTTCCTCTTTGTTTCCACTTTATTCCTCGAATGATCAAAGAATTTATGAAATATAGAATAATGAAAATAACTTTTGTGTAATTTCTAGTAGTTCAAATTAGACAAAAGTTATTATCTTTATTCTATATTCAATATGAATTTCTACAAAATAAATAGATCATCAATCGAACAAGCTATATGGAAATACTATTATGAGAAATTGGATGATTGTAAAATAGTAACACATACAAATAAAATAGTGTCAAATGTCTTTCAAAATATTTCATTATTAACAAAATCTGGCAGTGATTATTATAATTAAATCAGAAACGAAAGAAATAGTCGTATGATGGTTTACTTACTTGAAATTAGTTGGTGATACCACTGGCGAAAAAACAGCAGATAAAAAATGTAGCCGAACTTGTACTTGCATTTGATGGGTGTACATTGGCAATGACTTATTTGGATTTGCTGTGTAGACTTTCAAATTATTGAAAAAATGCGTCATCATGTGATGTTGTCGATCGGCCCAATGAGTAACGTGGTGCATATCTAGGCCGCGAAAAGAAGTCAATAATTTCGGAAGCATCCGAAGGGATACAACAACGGACCTGAAAAAATGAAGTTTAAATTAAATACAGAAACAATAGTTTTTGTTATATGATATAGTTAGTGTCTAATACCTACACGTTGTTTGCTAGATTATTTAGACAACCCTCAATGAATTTCATGCGTATTTCTTTGTCAGGTGTGTAACAGATTAAATTGCACAACGTCTTCTCAGCTTCTAATGCTAGTCCTTCTCCCAGCTGACACTGAAAAAAATTATTCTATTTGTTCAATAATATAAATACAAGGCGAAACTGACATATATTTTGAAGGTTGAACTTAGATGGCAATTTTTATATTATGATTTGGTACTTACAATTTTATCATCCTGGAGTAAATCCCACAATAAAGTATTGCCTGGTTGGCAAACATTGTCCACTTTAAAACAAGCAGACATACGAGGGTCTACTCTAATAGGTGACTTTTCAGGAGAATGATTGAAAACGTGAATATTCATATGTGCCTAAAAATTAATTTGTCATTAATATCTACAATTATGAAGGAAAATAAATTGGGTTTTTGGGGAATTAAATTAGGATTATTTATGAAACAAAGTATGTCGTAAAACAAGCACTTTTTCCAATCACCAGAAATACAACACACCACATAGTAACGGCTACATCCATCAATTTATAGAAATACAACACTCTTCTCATGGTGATATGCGTGTCGAGAAGAGTATTGCTTTTCTGGTGATTGGGAAAACTGTTTGCTCTTGGATTTATTCTACGCCAGGGGTTCCAGTTTTACCTTTTATTGAAATAAGTCCTGTCTTTTCAAAAGTATGAACAATGTCTGAAATATTGAATACTGCTACAAATGTTGAAATCAGTAATAATCATTGATGAATACATAATCAATTCTTCAAATCAAATATACTTTATTGTCAGAAGGAAATACATCTTATTGACAAAGTCTAAAGATACAAACAACCATTCTGGTAGCCAAACCAAATGTGACGTAGCTAAGAGCGCGCGAATGTACGATTTATAAGTAAGTATAATTTCGAAAATTTCGTTACCAAGGCAGATCTCAGGTAAGGTGCAGCAAATAGTAACAATGCTGGTTTAATTGATGTTGAAGGATAACTTATTACAGTCACACCATTCTTTTATTTGCTTTACCTCTTCACAGATGATCTCATGCAGAACGGCAATATCCTTGTTGTGCCATAATAAAGTGGTTTCGTCAGCAAAGAGGGTGATTCTGGCTGATATATCTATGAGAGCTAAGTTATTTATATAGATGAGAAAACGAATTGGGCCAAGGATCGAGCCTTGAAGCACTTTACATTTGATGGACTGTTCAGAAGAGTATGATTGGAAGCACCGAGTGTGATCTCAAAAAATGAATAGTATTTGGGAAAAATCGAATTCATAAAAGGAGGTAAAATAATAGTGAAACAGCAATGTTTTCAGAGTGGAAGATTGCTGCAATTCATATTACTCTCAAACGAATTCAGAAATTAAACAAACAATAAATCAGAAACAGAATAATTATTTTTGAAATATGGAAATGGGTATTCAAAAACACACCTGAAAATGAAAATTATTTAGATTTCCGGAAGCTCATTAATTGTGGTAATACGAAAGTAGAGGCAATTACATCTTTATAAGTATACCAGATGCAACCAGAGCCAAAAATAAAGCACTCATGACTCGATACCAGACAGTGCTGTTTCTACCGAACATGGCCTCATCAGTGGCTAAGCATGAATGTATTGCTGGATTCAACTGTCCTTTAAGAACAAGCTCAAGTAAGTGAAGGCAAAGACATCTCTCTTTATGCAGACCACATCTCCAATCTTTCTTGAAATTATGTATTCTTTTATACTGGCAGATAATTTATTACATTTTTCAACCGCTACAAAACAAACCACTTTTTACAAGTACACTTTTTTTATAATTCCTCAGACAAGAGGTGAAATCAGAAGTCATTTT